TTGAATAGCTTAGTCAATTCACTGATTCTTTTGTTTGTTTGTTTTGTTTTTGTTTGTCACAAAAGATTTCCCCTCTTCTTTATAAGAACATAAAAATGGCCCTACTGGGTCAGACCAAAGGGCCATCTAGCCCAGTATCCTGTCTTCCAACACTTTCCAGTGCCAGGTGCCCCAGAGGGAATGAACAGAACAGGTAATCATCAAGTGATACATCCCGTCACTCATTCCCAGCTTCTGGGAAATAGAGACTAGGAACACCATCCCTGCCCATCCTGGCTAATAGCTATTGATGGACCTATCCTCCATGAATTTATCTAGTTCTTTTTCAAACCCTGTTATGGGCTTGGCCTTCACAACATCCTCTGGCAAGGAGTTCCACAGGTTGACTGTGCGTTATGTGAAAAAATACTTCCTTTTGTTTGTTTTAAACCTGCTGCCTATTAATTTCATTTGGTGACCCCTAGTACTTGTTTTATGAGAAGTAAACACTTCCTTATCTACTTTCTCTATACCAGACCAGTCATGATTTTATAGACCTCAATCATATCTCCCCTTAGCTGTCTCTTTTCCAAGCTGAAAAGTCCCAGTTTTATTAATCTCTTCTCATATGGAAGCTGTTCCATACCCCTAAACATTTTTGTTGCCCTTTTCTAAACTTTTTCCAATTCCAATATATCTCTTTTGAGGGGGGGCGATCACATCTGCACACAGTATTCAAGATGTGGGCGTATCATGGATTTACATAGAGACAACATATTTTCTGTCCTATTATCTATCCCTTTCTTAATTATTCCCAGCATTCTGTTTGCTTTTTTGACTGCCGCTGCATATTGAGTAGATGGTTTCAGAGTACTATCCACAATGAGTCCAAGATTTCTTTCTTGAGTGGTAACAGCTAATTTAGACCTCATCATTTTATATGTATAGTTGGGATTATGCTTTCCAATATGCATTAATTTGCATTTATCAACATTAAATTTCATCTGCCATTTTGTTGCCCAGTCACCCAGTTTTGAGAGATCCTTTTGTAGCGCTTTGCAGTCTGCCTGGGTCTTAACTATGCTTGGTAATTTTGTATCATCTGCAAATTTTGCCACCTCACTGTTTACCCCTTTTTCCAGATCATTTATGAATATGTTGAATAGGATTGGTCCCAGCACAGACACCACTATTTACCTCTCTCCATTCTGAAAACTGCGCATTTATACCTATCCTTTGTTTCCTATCTTTTAACCAGTTACCAATCCATGAGAGCACCTTCCCTCTTATCCCATGACCGCTTACTTTGCATAAGAGCCTTTGGTGAGGGACCTAGTCAAAGACTTTCTGAAAATCTAAGTACACCTCTACCCCGATATAACGCAACCCAATATAACACGAATTTGGATATAACGCGGTAAAGCAGTGCTCCGGGGGAGTGGGGCTGCGCACTCCGGTGGATCAAAGCAAGTTCAATATAACGCGGTTTCACCTATAACGCGGTAAGATATTTTTTGGCTCCTGAGGACAGCATTCTATGGAGGTAGAGGTGTACACTATATCCACTGGATCCCCTTGGTCCACATGTTTGTTGACCCCCCTCAAAGAATTCTAGTAGATTGGTGAGGCATGATTTCCCGCTACTAAAACAATGTTGACTCTTCCTCAACAAATTATGTTAATCTATACGTCTGACAATAGTGTTCTTTATTATAGTTTCAATCAGTTTGCCCGGTACTGAAGTCAGGTTTACAGGCCTGTAATTGCTGGGATCACCTCTGGAGCCCTTTTTAAAGATTTGCATCACATTAGCTATCCTCCAGTCATCTGGTACAGAAGCTGATTTAAAAGATAGGTTACAGACTACAGCTAGTAGTTCTGCAATTTCACATTTGAATTCCTTCAGAACTCTTGGGTGAATACCATCTGGCCCTGGTGACTTATTGCTGTTTAATTTATCAATTTGTTCCAAAACCTTCTCTAATGATACCTCAATCTGGGACAGTTTCTTAGATCGGTCACCTAAAAAGAATGGCTCAGGTTTGGGAATCTCCCTCCCATCCTCAGCTGTGAAGACCACTGCAAAGAATTCATTTAGTTTCTCCACAATGGCCTTATGATCATTGAGTGCTCCTTTAGCACCTCGGTCATCCAGTGGCCCCACTGGTAGTTTAGCAGGCTTCCTGCTTCTGATGTACTTCAAAAAAAATTGCTATTACTTTTTGAGTCTTTGGCTAACTGTTCCTCAAATACTATCACCCCTATTGTTTTTTCCCCTCTGGATTAATTGATTTATTTAAATATTTATTGTCAAGCCCTTCCAGAATCATTATGGGTATAGACCTTCACATTTGTGAAAGTTAGGTATAAAGCCCCTTTTAAATAGGGGGGGACAACAGATGCTGGTGTTTTCTGTCCTGGGGTTTTTAGTTGGTTGGTTGGTTTTGGGTTTTTTGCACATCCTGTTTCTGTTTTTCACTTGAGCGGTGTAGTCATGATTCAATATGTTATGTAATCTATGCCATGCAGTGAGGTAAAACAAGATCAGGAAACAAAATCAAGGAGACGTTTTATTACCTGAACTCTCTAGAGAGGTGATCTGGGTACTTAAACTTCTTGTCAAGGGCACCTTAAAGACTAACATTTATTTGGGCATAACCTTTCGTGGGTAAAAAAACCCACTTCTTCAGAAGCATGGAGTGAAAATTACATATATGGGCATAAATATATATTGGCACATGAAGAGAAGGGAGTTACCTTACAAGTGGAGAACCAATGTTGAAGGCCAATTCAGTCAGGGTGGATGTGGTCCACTCCCAATAATTGATGAGGAGGTGTCATCAAGAGAGGGAAAATTGCGTTTGTAGTGAGCCAGCCACTCCCAGTCCCTATTCAAGCCCAAATTGATGGTGTTAAGTTTGCAAATGAATTGTAGCTCAGCAGTTTCTCTTTGAAGTCTGCTTTTGAAGTTTTTTGTTGTTGAAGAATGGCTACTTTTAAATCTGTAATTGGATTGAAATTGGGAGATTGAAGTGTTCTCCTACTGGCTTTTGTACGTTACCATTCCTGGTGTCTGATTTGTGTCCATTTATCCTTTTATGTAGAGACTGTCCAGTTTGGCCAATGTACATGGCAGAGGGGCATTGCTGGCACATATCACATTAGTAGATGTGCAGGTGAATGAGCCCCTGATGGTGTGGCTGGGTCCTATGATGGTGTTTCTAGAATAGATATGGGGACAGAGAAGGCAATGGGGTTTGTTACAGGGATTGGCTCCTGGATTAGTGTTTCTGTGGTGTGGTGTGTAGTTGCTGGTGAGTATTTGCTTCAGGTTGGGGGGCTGTCTGTAAGTGATGATTGGTCTGCCTTCCAAGGCCTGTGAGAGTGGGGGATCGTTTTCCAGGATAGGTTGTAGATTGTTGATGATGCGCTGGAGAGGTTTTAGCTGGGGGCTGTACGTGATAGCCAGTGCTGTTCTGTTGTTTTCCTTGTTGGGCCTGTCCTTTAGTAGGTGACTTCTGGGTACGCATCTCGCTCTATCAATTTGTTTCCTCATTTCCCCAGGTGGGTATTGTAGTTTTAAGAATACTTGATAGAGATCTTGTAGGTTGTATCTTAGGGCTTGGCTGTATACAATGGATCATGTGATGTATCCTGGATAGAAGCTGGAGGCATGTAGGTAAGTATAGCCATCAGTAGATATCCCATATAGGGTGGTGTTTATGTGACCATCATTTATTTGCACTATAGTGTCCAGGAAGTGGATCTCTTGTGTGGACTGGTCCAGGCTGAGGTTGATGGTAGGGTGGAAATTGTTGAAATCCAGGTGAAATTCTTCAAGAGCCTCCTTCCCGTGGGTCCATATGATGAAGATGTCATCAATGTAGCGGAAATAGAGGAGGGGCGCTAGGGGACGAGAGCTGAGGAAGTGCTGTTCTTAAGTCAGCCATAAAAATGTTGGCATACTGTGGGGCCATGCGGGTACCCATAGCAGTGCCACTGACTAGAAGGTATAAGTTGTTCCCAAATCTGAAATGGTTGTGGGTGAGGACTAAGTCACAAAGCTCAGCCACCAGGTGTGCCATGGCTTCATCAGGGATACTGTTCCTGACAGCTTGTAGTCCATCCTCATGTGGAATATTGGTGTAAAGAGCTTCGACATCCATGGTGGCCAGGGGGTTGTTTTCAGGAAGATCACCAGTGCATTTTAGTTTCCTCAGGAAGTCAGTGTTGTCTCGCAGATAACTAGGAGTGCTGGTAGCGTAGGGTCTGAGGAGAGAGTCCAAATAGCCAGATAATCCTGCTGTAAGAGTGCCAATGCCTGAGATGATGGGGCGTCCAGGATTTCCAGGTTTTTGAATCTTGGGTAGCAGATAGAATACACCTGCCAGGGCTCTAGGGGTGTGTCTGTGCAGATTTGTTCCCATGCTGTAGCAGGGAGTTTCTTGAGCAGATGGTGTAGTTTCTTCTGGTGGTACTCAGTAGGATCGGAGAATAGTGGCATGTAGAAAGTAGTGTTGGAGAGCTATCCATCCTCCAGATGGTCGAAATGACAGACTGTATTTCTACATAGAGTGCTTCCGCAGACGTGTACAGGCTGAAATGGTGAACAAACAGCATCACTTTCCCGATAACCTCAGCTGTACAGAATGCAACGCCATCCACAGCCTCAGGAACAACTCTGACATTATAATCAAAAGGGCTGACAACAGCGGTGCTGTAGTCATGAACAGGTCGGATTATGAACAGGGGGCTGCCACCAGACAACTCTCCAACACCACATTCTACAGGCCACTATCCTCCGATCCCACTGAGGATTACCTAAAGAAACTACACCATCTGCTCAAGAGACAAGGTGGGTGACCAACTTGTGTGGGTGAGCGAGACAAGCTTTTGATCTCTTGTTGAGCCCACCAGGGCACACCAGAGAGCATTTCCTGTAGGAAAGGTCGTGTACATTGTAAGTACAGCAGCGTTCCTGAGACTGAAACCGAAAGCGCCGGCCCTGGAGACGAGTGCGGGCAGCGCTGCTGGCGGATGTACACGCCCCGGGGGGGCGGGGAGCGCTCCTATCACTTCTTCAACCTACAGCCCAGCCCCCCAGGGTGCGCCGGCGGCCGAGCGGCCTTTGGCACCGCGATTGCCCAGCGGCCGCTCTCCCCGGGACAGCGCCGTCTCCTGGCTGCAAATCGGTCCCTGGCCGGGCAGAGAGCTCCGCTCCCAGCGCCGCAGGGGTGCCCGGCTATTACCTCATGTGACTCAGTCCGCCCCCGGGGCGTGCCCGCCCGGGCGCCCAGGTGCGGCTAGTTTGCGCTCGCCCTCCTGTCACCGCAGCGCGGGGCGCGGCCGGGCTCTTGGCGGTGCAGGTGGCCGGCGGGAGCGCCGCGGAGAAGCCCCGCTGCCCGGGAAGATGCGACTGGGCTGGAGCAGTGAGTAGGCGCCGCGCACAGGCGGGAGTGTGGACTAGCGGGCTGCCCCCTGCCCTGGGGCCGGGCTGGAGGCTGCGGGCGCGGGGAAGGGATGGCGGGCGCTGCTCGTTTCTCCCGGGGGCTGAGGGCAGATCCCCTCTCCCCGCAGCCCCCTTGCAGGGGTGTCGGGCTGGCCTCCAGAGCTCAGGGCTCAGCTTCCTGGTTCCCTCGGGCCGGGCGGGTGTGCTTGGCAGCCCAGCTCTGGACCCGGAGAAGAAACCTGTTGCTGCTTCTTCATGTTTGTCCCCCGATCGCTTCCGGGAGGCGCTTGGAACATTACACGTGTTGGGGCTTATCGTTTCCCATTCCTGCTTCTCTTTGCACTTCTCCTGGGCGTCTCCCCAGCCACACTGGCACCGGCTGGGACCCGCTCTTTGCCCCGTCTGGCCACCTCTACACCACCAAGTTTAATCGGCCCAGGCATGGATGTGTCAGCACAAGTGCATGTACTAACCACAAATGCTTGCACTGATGTAAAATGTAGTGCCCCACAGATAGGTAACTACCCCAGCGTGCCCTGCACCGCCTGGCTCTCTGCCTTGTGGATCATTTGCACAGTGTTCTGTGGGATACCGGTGATTTGCGAGGGGATTTTGAGGAGCGAGGGGTCATGTTCTGGAACCCCACTGAACTCAGGTGGGGTGATAGCACACACATCTCTTTGCCACCAAGTATATCAACAGAGAGGGATATTTTTTCATGGTTAGATAACCGCTAGTGAATCACTGATATCAAGGTAGACTGGTTAGGGAAGGTGCATGATGTTTGCATGTTTAAGAACATGTGATTTAAAAAAAAAACTGCAAGAAGGGACATTTTCCCCAACAGACAGATTACCACAGCAGATATTGAAATGCCAATATTGATCCTGGGGGGGATACAGCCTATCCCTTGCTCCTCTGGCTCGTGAAGCTGTACACTGGTCATCTTGGCAGCATCAAGGAAAGATTCAACTACCATCTCAACAGGTGCAGAATGACTGTAGAATATGCTTTTGGTACCGATTGAACGGACACTAGCACGGCTTATTCAGTAGGTTGGATCTCAGAGAGGAAAAATATCCTCCTAGTTATAACTACATGTTGTGTAATGCATATCTGTGAGGCAAAGGGGTAAAAGCTGCCATCAGGATGAAGGGGTGAGATGGACAGACTGTCTGCTGAATTTGAACAGCAAGAGGCCAGGGCTATTGGAACAGCTAACTGGAGCTTTGCAGCTGAGGGAGATCTTAAAAGGCCAGTTTAACACTCAGCCATAGTGGTGTTGTCTAATGTTGTTATTAAATAAAATCTCTTGGGTGTTCTTACTATGGGTGGGGCTTTGCTTCCTGCTATTCGCTGTAATTCCTGGTGTAAACTAATAAAGAACTTCGTTATGTGCAAAGAAGCAGAGAACAAAGTCAAAGTGCAAACAAACAAATACAAAGTTAAAAAATCTTTTACCCACATTGTGACTTTAAAATCCCAAGTGAAAACAGAGGTAGGGCAGGGGAATATGTATGTCCATGTATCTGAAACCTGCAACAGTGTGGCTACATATACACTGGTAGGTGGTTTTCACAGGTACTAATGTATGTGGCACTATTGTTCTACTTGTTGTTCAGTGTGGAGTGATAGGCATAAAGATGTACACCATGGTGCCACTTGGCATGGTGGTGGGAGTGTAGTGAGCAGCGACTAGTTTTAAATGAGGAGGAAGGCGGGGGGAAGGAGAGAGAGATGAGCACACATTGGAAAAATTAACAAGCTTGCAGTTATGTAAGTAAACCACAAGAATGCTATAACTGAGTCCTTCGTCTAATTAGGCCTTCTGCTCTTTTGTATCTTTTTTTAGACACCAATACACTTTTGACTAATTTATTTGCTCTTTCAGCACCAAGTTCATTACAGAATTTGACCAAACCAATAATTAAAAAGTAATAATTAATAATAACCCCCAACTGAACAATAAGAAACACTTGACTGATGCTCAACTGGGTGGACAGGCCTGCAGAGCCGTTGCTATTTTTTTTAAAGTTCTAAAATCAATTATTTTTTCTGTGATTTTTTTTAGTTCTAAAAATTTCAACCATTTTGATGCAAAAAGCTGTGACTCAACCTCCTTCACAAATTTAGACTTGTGGTAGAAACCTGGATCTTTAACTTTTACATTCCATCAGAAACTTTCACCTTCTTTTTTCTGGCTTGACCTCTGACCTTTTTATTTTGGCTCAGTAACAGGTTCTTGGAATCATTTTCAATTTGGTCCTTGTGTTCCATTTCCTAGTTAATTAGATCAGGCCAAGTTTTCACTGAGACTGCAGTGATTTATAATACACCTCAACCCAGATATAACGCTGTCCTCTGGAGCCAAAAAATCTTACCGCGTTATAGGTGTAACCGTGTTATATCGAACTTTCTTTGATCCGCCAGAGTGCGCAGCCCCCTTCCCCCTCCCCCTCCCCCCGGAGCACTGCTTTACTGCGTTATATCCGAATCCATGTTATATCAGGTTGCGTTATATCAGGGTAGAGGTGTATATTGTGTCTGTCCGGGTAGATCTGACTTCTATGGGCTCGGTAGACTCCAACAGCTTCGGGCTTGCAAGGCTCACATTAGCACTCTACAAATAGCTGTATAGACAGTGCTTTGAAGTTGCGACTTTGGCTTTGAAGCCTATGGAGGGCTCCTTTCTGAGGCACAACTTTAAAGCACTGTCTACAAAGCTCTTTTAGATCACTAGCCCAAGTCTGTTGACCTGGACTGGGAGGCTCACTTCTGCAGCTGTTTAGACATACACTCTGAAGCCTCTAAGTGTGCTTTTGTAATTCTAGTGCCATGTGGAAAATGTGTCTTTTTTTTTTTTTTTTTTTTTATTTTAATCGAAGGCCTTATCATAATATCTATATGCAAATTTCAACATTATTTATGGTCGCTGGATGTGGCTGT